ATCTATTCTATGCAGATCTCAGCTTCTAATTTTAATGCATGTGTATTTATGTAGGAGTAAGTATAGGAAACTAAAAAGGGGGCCCTGAGATGCTTTAATGTAAAATTTTAGGCTAATTTTAAAATAAAAATTAAAAAATGATGGAACTAGGAGATAGTAAGTGAGATAACCCAGGCTCAGAAAGACAGACATCACATGCTATCTATTCTATGCAGATCTCAGCTTCTAATTTTAATGCATGTGTATTTATGTAGGAGTAAGTATAGGAAACTAAAAAGGGGGCCCTGAGATGCTTTAATGTAAAATTTTAGGCTAATTTTAAAATAAAAATTAAAAAATTTCAAAGCAAATATTCAATTAGCACATTTTTCAAAGCAAATATTCAGTCATGAATTAGCACATGACATTACACATATATGACACTGTATAGTAATATATTAATTTAAAATAGGGTATATATTACATCTCATTAAAACTTTTTCATTATGAGGTTTTTGTAATTTTTTAAAATAAACTTACATGTTTTATTTTTGAATACTTTTGAAAACATTGTTCTGAGAAGGCTTAAGATTTAATCAAATTTGCACTGGGGTATAGGAATCCTTATATCAAAGGGCTGTCAGAACATTTTTGTAGCATTAGAATTTTGTTTTATTTGAACCTTTTTTAATGTTTTCAAGTAGTTTAAGGTGATGGACTTATCTTAGTTTTTAAAGTAGATTGATGTCAGGGCCAGTGTGGAAAAAGGGACTGTAATACTCTTCTCTGTTCCCCCTTCAGGCTTTCCTGTGCTGCCATGTCTTGCATAGTCTGACCACTAGCCTCCTCTTAAATCTCATTTTTCACGAGGCTTCCTTTTGTACTTTCACTTCTTGTCATGTTATTCTTCTTTCAAGTGTTTTATTCAGCTTGCTCTTTCCTGCCACAGGATTTCTACTTGTACTTTTCTTGCTGTTATGTTCATTTCCTTCATCATTTATTCATTCCATTTCATACTTCCTCTTTTGACTCAGGTATTGCTTTGTTGGAAGTCTTCCCTTGTCTCTTTCACATGGTTACATCTTTGTTTGTTTGGAGACATAATTTTATACTTTGTGAGGTACATTGTGGTAATTTGATACATGTATGCAATGTGTAATAACCAAATCAGGATAATTAACATTTCCATTTTTTTAAGATTAATCTGTGTTTTTGGAATTTCATACTCTTTTATAGCTATTTTGAAATATATCATAGATTGTTCTAGCTATTACCCTACTGTGATTACTCTACTGTGCTATAGAAAGCAATTTGTGGATATATTTTGTTATTGGGAACTAGTTCTCAGAATGACCTTGTAAGGGAGTCTGTTCCTAGGTTCTAGTCTTTCAGGCTGTTAACAGTTTTTATTAGTAACTTTTGTAATTTTCACATCTTTATTTGTTGGGTATTCTGACAAGGCTTCTCTGACCAAGTATTGTGGCATTTTAATGTGTTTTGCACCATTATTTTCTGTGCTACATTCAGAATAAGTTAGTATCCATTGTAAGTCATGTCTTTATTTTGGGATGTAAAAATGTAGAAGTTCTTATAATGAATGGATGAAAGGGAATTGAGTAGACCCGAAGGAGGAAAAGGAATGAGCCATACCAGCTAGGCAACATGGATCAGGTGAGAAGGAACTGTTGTCAATGTTTCTCCAAGGCTTCTTGAAGAAGACCAATATGGCTGACCTGGATTAGCCAGGACAGAATACTAGGAAAAGATTGCATAGAGCCTTGTAAGTCATTAGAAAGGTTTTGATTTTTATGCTTAGTGAAATAAGAAGTTATTGAAGGCTTAAATAGAGGCATGATTAAATTCTTAGAAAAGGATAACTTTGGCAAGAAAATAAAAAGAGGTAGTCTTAAAGACCTGTTTCAAATAATCCAGATGAGAGATGATGATTTGAACCAGAGTTGTATTAATAGAGATTATAGGAGACAGATTCCAGATTCATTTTCAAGGTAGAGCTGACAAGATTTGTAGATTGGTTGATGAACTCTTAATGGGGTGTGAGGTAAACAAGTGGTGCATTTCATGTCTACTAATAGTTACTACTACTAGTTAGTATGGGTATGCACAAAGATGTACATGTATCATGTGTCTGAGTTTGTAGATGTATCCTGTAATATTAGTATCAATTGTTGCTTATTATTTTGTATATTTTCATTGAATTTTTGTGCATTTCATAGAAAACATCTTAATCATCTTTATACCCCCTCCCCCATCCCTCCTTATTTCCCCCCTCCCTGGATTTCATACATTCTGTCATATATGTTAAGCCCTATTTTGTCAAGTGTCTACTCTGATATCCCTCAGTACCACTTCATCCACTGGTGTCTAATCAGCCTATCTAGAGTTTCTCCCTTAAAGATCAACTCTCCCTCACCCAACAGGAGTCAGCTGCCAATAGTTCTTCAGCTAAAGTTGGGGCCTGGTACCCATTTCCCCAGTTCTATGCTGGGTTTTTTTTTTTTTTCCCCTCTGATTGTGTTTTCATGGGTCTTGTGCATATTGACACCATTGTAAGATCGTATCAGTTCTCAGAGACATGGAAGACTGTTTTCCTTATGATCACTTACCAATCCTGGCTCTTACAATCTTTCCACCCCTTCTTTCTCAATGGTCCCTGAGCAATGGGTGAGTGAGGTTTAATATAGGAGACCTATCCAGGGACATGTTCTCTACAGTCTCTTATTCCTTACACTTTGGCAAGTTGTGGCCTTCTATATGCATATAGTATTCTGTTGATGAGGAAGCGTCATTGGTGAGAGTTGAGAGATACATTAATATTCTCTTTGTCCCGTTCCTCTATGTTCTAAGAGCCTTAGGTTAGCGATTCCATTGTAGATTTGTCACTTAGGGCTGGACATTTCTCAAACACTTATTCTCTGTATATGACCAGTTGTGGAATTCTGTAATAGTTTCCATCTGTTGTAAAAAGAAGCTTCTTTGATGAATGGAAATTAGTATACTTGTCTGTAAATATAAGGATCCATATTTAGCATACAGTGAAAAATTACATTTGTTTTTTAACTGCTAAATGTTTGGGCTTTGTTTTTTTTTTTCCAATTTTTATATGTATGAGTTTTTGTATGCATGTAAATACAGCACATGTGTTGGTCCCCAGTAGCTGGAGTTAGGGTCAGATGTTAGCTGTAATGTGGGTGCACCTACTAATCCCAACTCTTAGGAGTCTGAGGCAATCAGAGCACATGTTTGAGACCAACTTGGGCTACAAAATAAGACTGTCTCACAAAGAAAGGTTAAATCAAATCAAGCAATCTCTTATATGTTTGAGCTTGTGAACAGGGTGATGCATGTAATGAAGCTTACTATAATCTTTATTATCATTGATTTTTTTTTCCAAACATATCCTCTTACCAAGTCTCATTTCTTTTACCCGTTGGACTCACTTTCTCTCCCGTTTTTCCATTTTGTTGGAACTTAAAAATTTCTGTGTTCACTTGCTCTTTATATAGTAACAATTGATATGTCTCATTTGTATCTCACATTCCTCAAAGTGATGATAAAATGGCTCCCTTGTGTGCATGGAAGAACTTGTTGGAGATAGTAAATTATGAACTGTATGTGGTTGCTTCCTGTTATTTCTCTAAAATCAGTGAGGATATTGAATACAATACAAAATGTAAAACATTTTCAGGAATTATAGCTGGAATTAAAATGATAGAATCAAAGTTGAAAAACTGTGTCAGTTTCAACAGTGGGCTCATGGATCATCTTTCATTTCTTTTAGGTTTTCATGTAGTGTTATGTTTCATTCCTTCCAAGAAGTTTTTCTCAATAGCTAGATTGTATTAAGCTATCTGAATATCTATAGTGTATTTTCTTTTTTAAAAATATTTTTTTATTTTATTTTTATGTATGTGAGTGTATTGCCTATCCAGTGAGGAACCCCTTCCCTGTGAGGGAAGATTGATCACAGGAGAGGAAGTTGCCTCTGCCCTGTCTGGTAGAAGTAGTAGTAAATGTAATGTATCCTTCATGTTTGAAAACAGAATATAAAATTTTGATGTATTTAAGTGCACTTTGTGCATGCAGTGCCCACAGAGGTCAGAAGAAGGTGTCAGATCCTATGGAACTGGAATTAGGGGCCGTTGTTAGCCACCAAATGGATCCTGGAAACTGGACTCCGGTCCTCTGCAAAGGCAATCAGTGCATTTGCTAGCTGAGCCATCTCTCTAGCCCCATTATATTTAATGAAATAAGATTATTCATTATGGGAATTTACTGTGGTTTTTTTTAATGTTATGTTTTTTATTAGCATATATTAATTAGACATACTGATAGGTTTCATTATGACATTTTCAAACATGTATTTTGATCATATTCATTCTCTTATCCAACTCCCACCTCCAGTGCCCCCCTTTCTGTTCCCAACTACTGTGCTTCTGCTTTCATGTCTTTTTTTGTGTGTGACAAAGTGGGTTTAATTAGGGTTGTTTATGAGAGTGTGGGTGAGGGACATGGGCAACTTGGCATTGACTATACCACTGGAAAAAAAAATGTCTTCCACTTCCCAAGCAATCATTAACTGCCAGTAGCTCCTTGGGGAGGGGTTGGTGTTCATGAGACTCTGGAATATACTTTTGAAAAATGAAGAAAAAACTATAGTAAATGTCTTTTCCTAAAATTTATTTTAAACTTTTGTAAATTGTATTTTTGGTGATGTTCCCACTACTTAAGCTTATATCATTTGAAAAAAATTAATTCTGTCCTTTTGAAATAAATGTTCATAGTTTATATATCAGCTTATTTGTCTAAGGAGTGAGTGACACATGGGTTTCATAATTTGACATGTATTTTGTTATATGAGACATCTTCAGAGAGTAGAAAATGAAAAGGCAACAAGAGTCTCCCCGCAGCATAGAATGAATGTGTTCATGTTTTTGCTGAAGGGTACAGCATTTGTAAGAATGTAATTAGCTTTGCTTTTCACTTTCTACTTGTTTCCACAGCCTCATGATTTTGATGAATGTCGGTTTGATATTAGCGTAAATGATAGTGTTTGGTATCTCCGTGCCCAGGATCCAGATCACAGACAGCAGTGGATAGACGCCATTGAACAACACAAGGTAAGACTGCTGATGTTTACCTGCTTATGGATAGGCAGTGTCCCTGGTGATAATGCCTTTAAAGTAATCTTGACATGAAAAGTATGATATATTATTTGAATAGTAAAGATCAAAGCAGTACAAATATACATTTTGGGGCAGCTTTATGTCTGACACTTCAGTTTCACTGAAGTATTTAGTACAGTAAATATTCTTCATTATTAACTGAAACAGAAATATACTGTTTCATAAATTTCTTTGATTTCTTTTTTTTGTCTTTTTGAGACAGGGTCTTCCTATAGCCCCAGCTGTCCTGGAACTCACTATGTAGACCAGGCTGGCCTTGAACTCACACCTGCCTCTGCCTCCCAAGTGCTGGGACTACAGGAATGTGCCACCATGCCTGGCTGATTTTTTTTTTTTTTTTTAAGAACTATTATAATAAGTACTTTTAAATTAATCCTGTTAAAAATATTTTTGAAATAATACTAGATTCTAAGACTCTAGTGTTTAAAAGCTTCTGTATAAATTTTTGTAGTCATTTTATAATCATTTAGGAAAATTCCTCATGTAACCGTTTGAAAATCATTTGATCTTTTAAATATGAACTCCGTCTTACAGTAAGCATACAGAAAATCTTTCTGATATTAATGTTTAGGCCAGGTAATCTTTGACTTTTGCTGTAAGTAGGGTAATGAAACACTAATAAGTCAGCCTTATTGCTAATTCAGTGACATGGCAAAGCACAGGTCAAGGTTGAAGTCATCATGTCATCCTTAAGTGACTTAGGAGAATTTTGTGCCTGTTTACTTACTTGTCTGTACTTGTTCATGTGAGTTACACAGTCTTATAATTGAGACACCTGTTTTAGTTATTTTTAACAGCCACAAAACACCACAAAACAAGAAAAACCAGTTTCATCTGGCATGCCATAAGAACATTCTTCTTGATACAATCATTTGTTAGCTTTCCTTTTTTGGTTATTTTTGAATTTAGAAAATTGTAAATTTTGTTTCCTCTCTGTTTTACCTTCAGTATTATAATAGTTTTAAATGTTTTATAAGTCTTAGATTTGGTTATCTTGGTATTATCATTTCATAAAAGATTATAAACATGAAAATTATTTTTATATTTATTTAAAATTGAGATGAGCCAGTATTTCAGAATCTCATTGCTTTGAAATTAAGGCCATCTGAAATCCATGGCAGCCTCTGCCACTTGGAACTTTATGCATTGCAAGTAACCTTCTATTGTTTTAGAAAAGCAAGGGCTTTGGATATAACTAAATTCAGTAAGTTACACTTCATTGTTTCTGGAAGAAGAGTTCTGTATTCAGTGAGAGTAACTAAATATACACATAAGGCTAGTAGACTATTTTCTTGTATTTATGCAGGGCCAGCCTTCTTACTAGTTATTAGAGATGTCACTAAGTAGAATCAATTTCTTAATTTTAGCTGAGAGGATCTTTTAAAGATTTAGATTTAAATCTAGTTTTTTTCTGATTTAAATTTTACTTATTCTTTTCTTAGTAGAGTCCAACCAGAATTCCTGTGTAATGTTTCCATATTTTGCTTTTAAATGAAAAGGAATGCATGAAACATATTTCATCTTACAGATTTCCTTGAATTTCAGAGCAATAGGACTTAACTGATCTTAAGTTCTTAGAAAAAAAAAGGAATAAAAAGTACAGTTATGCAAACTTTTCCTTTGCTTATTTCCAAAACAAAAAAATAATTCATTGTAAGTGATTAATATACAAAAATTAAGTATGTGATGTATACCAACTAAGCAACATGTTAGTGAATATGTAAGTTGATGTGAATTCTAAAACTAAATTATTTTGACTTCTTAAATGAACTGACAAGGGAGAAGTTTCAAAGGTTACCAGACCTAATCAGTAAATTACTTATTTTCTTTCCCTAGTAGACCAGGTACAGGGAGATATTAAGAATTTCCTGATTCACTTTTCAATAACAGTAAGGGCTATTTGACTGTTAAACTTAGTAATTTTACTATATACTCATAGTAACACAATTAATGCCAAATTATTAAGTCAATGATGATGACAAAAATAAGATCTGCTTTTTAGAAGTAACTAAGACTAGTTATTGTGCTGTTTTATGTGCTTTATTTTCTCTCTACCATTTTATCTCTACCATTGTTTCACAAAGGAAGAAACAGATTTTATAGTAATTAAATATCTCACCTAAGACAGTACTATCTTTAGTTGTTGATGCCTAAGAATTTGATTTTGCACTAATTCTCTTTCTAATAGTTACTACCGATAAGCTGATTGCTGGAACACAGTTGCCATAACTTCAGTTCTTGAAAGTTAGTGTATTATCTGAATTCTCCTGGCATATGTATGCAAGCTAACTCTCGATTCATCTACCTCTTTTTGGATTGCAGTAGAAGGCAATTAATGTTTTAGTCCTATTGAAATTGGTTGTATATAAATTTAAATCATAGCAGTATTGAAATTGGTCATATGTAAATTTGAATCATGGCAGTACGACGTATTAGGTGCATGACCTTGGTAAGTTACCTATAGAATGAAAGATGATAGCATGCAGTATGTGTTACCATCCCCTCCACCACCAAACAAAATCAAATTGGGGAGCAAAATAGGCTACTCAGGATAAACTAAACTGTATATCAAACTTGACCTGGGCTCTGATAATTCCAGCCTATTCAGCTTAATTCACAGTTACTTCCTCTGGGTACTGTCTGTTCCTCTGGATGGCTGAACAGGACACTTGGAGCAATAAGACTATCTTTCTGTTCTTTTTTAAAGTACTTTATTATTTTTATTTTATGTGTATGAATATATTGCCTGACTGTATTTAAGTGCACCCTTGTTGTGCAGTGCCTACAGAGGTCAGAAGAGTGGCATTGGATCCTCTGGAACTGGAATTATGGATGGTTGTTAGGCACCATTTGGGTGCTGGGATTTGAACCTGGGTCCTCTGTAAGAGTAGTCAGTGTTCTTAATCACTGAGCTATCTCTCCAGCCCCTATTTTTCTGTTTCTGATGTCACTGGGGCAGGCATTGTTTTTTGTTTGGCTTTGTTGTTGTTGTTTTAGGGGTTTGGTTTGGTTTGGTTTTCCTGTAGGTTGAGTTTTATGAGAAGTTCCTGACAGGTTTTAATAATTTTTTGACATCTGGAACGGTTGAAGGTATCTATACCTTCCTTCCTAGGAGGCCCTTATACTCCTTATGCAATAAGCTCTTATACTGATATATTCCATGCAGGTGCTCACGTGCCCTCACTCTGTCTCTGACTCTTATAGGTGCATGCATGAGAAACAGAAGTCTTGTTTTATACAACTTCTTCAGTAATGTAGTATTAATGGTGATAGCTAATGTTTTTGAGGATGAATATATGCCAAATATGGCAATAAATACATTATATAATTAGCTCATTTTACCCATGCATTTATATGAGAATAGCATTGTTATCCTGTTTTTACAGATTAGGTAACCAAGACACAGACAGATTAAGAAACATGTTCAAGGTTAGATACTAGTTAGTAAAGAAACCAGTCTTTCCAACCTGAGAACAAGGACTTTAGGCCAGCAAGTTCTTTTGCCAGCCATGGTGTATTTGCATGAAGTATATTTTGTTGACTTAAATCATGAACTTCTTGAATCAGGATAATTCTCATATTTCAGTACATTCTTCATATCTGTGGTGTTTCTTTTAGGCTATAAGCGCCTTAAGAACTCAGAAACAATTATGTTTATAGGAATCAGGATTGGGCACATAAAATTTTTAAAATTCAAGTAGCTTAAAGTATTGTAAAAATAGATTATTGGGTGAAAATTTGTGTTATCTGAAGTCTCTGTCATCCAACTTTAATCTTAATGCTTAGAGTTAGAATGATTACTAACAGAAATAAAGCTAACCTCTGACTCAATGTCTAGCTCTATTTTTTTCTTTTGCATTCATCTCAGAATAACTTGTTTACTATGAGTAAAGATTTAAAGAGATGATTTTTTATTTTAAATTTCTCAATATAAAGAAATTGCATAATGTAGAATGATACTAAATAACAACTGCTATGGAAGAAAAGTTCTTAAGTCATTTTTAAAGGAAAGGTTTATTTTCAAGTGCATGTATAGGAAAGGGCATATGTAAAGCAGACTAGTAATTTTACTTTGCAGCAGTGTTCTAGCTTTATTGTGTGGAGTTCATTAATACTCTGCACCTCTTCTTATGATTTGAGACAACACTAAGTAGATGATTTTTTTTTCTTCTTTTTTCTTTTTGGTCTTTTTGAGACGGTCTCTCTGGAGCCCCAGCTGGCCTGGATTTGCTATGGAGACCAGGCTGGCCTCGACCTCACAGAAATCCACCTTCCTCTGCCTCCCGAGTGCTGGGATTAAAGGTGTGCTCTACAAAAGATGGAATTTTTAAAATATATTAAATCTCTTGGCAATCTCACATTTTATCTCTCAAATGAGGTGATATTTACAAAAATTCTTTATAACTAAAAACTGTGAATGTAAAATTAAGATGACTGGTTATTATTTGCATTAAATGAGCATTTTTATGGTAAAGATATGCCTCTATATAATAGGACCTCTGTGAGCCTTTCTGTGTAATTGATTTATTAAAAGAAATATGTAAACCATTTACTGGTGTTATTACTTTTAAAAATTGTAATGTTTACCATGGAGTCTTTTCCAATTAAAGTTCATATGCTAAAGACTAAACACAGTTTCTCTTACTATGAAAGAAAACATATACCTCCTTACTCCAGCTCCGACCAAAAAGATCTAGCAGGAAACTTCCCCAGCACTAGCAGATAAAAGAATCATCTTGAAAAGATGAAACTTTTTGGCTGTGACAGTTTGTAGTACTGACAGCATTTCTTCTTCCCGTAAGGCAGTAACTTCAGCAGACCTTACAATTTTGGTAATCATGGGTACACTGATAATTCCCATGTTGTAGAAATTTTTCAAGGTATGAAAGATTATAGGAATACATGCGATTAGAGAGGCAACCTCCAGCTTGTAG